AATTTCTCTCTCCTATTGAAGAGTCCGTCTAGTCTAAGACTTGAGGGGGTGGGAAGAGCATCTTCCTTGTCTTTCATGCTTCTCTTATGGTAGCTTTTATTATTGCTATTCTTCTCTTCTTCCTTCACATTGCTCCATAAACTCAGCCATCCCCTTCCTTTAACTTCCCCCGCTCGCTCCCAACTTCATATTCGCAACATTTTCAATCTCCCATGGCAGTTCAGGCTCAATACCCTTCTAATGTTTTGCTCTTAAACAGGTATAACTCTAAACTCTCTCTCTCTCTTTTTATGATGCTTCTCATTTGTCTGATGACGTGCTTCTTTTCGAGTTGTTCAACCTTTGTTTGATGTGTTTGGTTTTGGGATTTTTGGGTTGGTTTTTTTCCTAATTGCAGAAATGGTCAAGAAGGGCATGATTATTCATTACAGCCACAACCAGGGGGTTTCCTTGACCAGACTCACATGGTGTTCAACAATATAGGTGAGGGGTCATTTTTCACATTGTTTTTTGGTTGGGATTTTTTTTTAGGTTTCTTCTATTTGAACACCGAAGGAAATTCCAATCAATTTGGGTTCTGAAGCCGACGTACCTTTGGAAATCGGTTGATCAATCTTGTTTTTCTGATGAAAGCAGGAAACAATTCTCGCAAAAGAGGAAGAGAAATCTCAACGGCCTCTACCATCGGGGCTCCAATCAATCTCTCCGCGTTGCAGCAGCCTCGTCCTCCTCTTCTTGTTGACCTCGCCAAGCTCCACAACCACCAAAACAATGTCGTCTCCACCGGCCTCCGCCTATCCTCCGGCGACCATCAACAGAATCAATCACAGCAACATCAACATAATCATAATCACAATCACAATCACAATCTCGTTCGTCAATCATCGCCTTTCTTATCTCTATTAACAGACAACTTCGCCTCCAATTTCAAACGGCAACAAGACGAAATAGACCAATTCCTTCAAGCACAGGTGCAAAAATTCACTCCCTACACAAACCACTTTCCGTCAATTTCCAACGATTCTCCCTTCGGACTTTTTGAACTGAGTTCCGTTTTCGTTTTACAATAGGAAGAACAACTACGGCGCACATTAGCAGAGAAGAGGCAGAGACACTACCGTGCGCTGCTGGATGCAGTGGAGGAATCGGTAGCCAGAAGGTTGAGAGAGAGAGAGGCGGAGGTGGAGAAGGCCACACGCCGGAACGCCGAGCTGGAAGCGCGCGCGGCGCAGCTTAGCGTCGAGGCGCAGGTCTGGCAGGCCAAGGCTAGGGCACAGGAAGCCACCGCCGTATCGCTGCAGGCACAACTGCAACAGGCGATGTCCGGCGGAGGAGGCGGCGGCGACGGAGTAGACGGCGGCAACCTCGCCGGCATAGAAGGTCAAGCCGACGACGCCGAGTCGGCGTACGTGGACCCGGACCGAGTCGTGATGTTGGGACCGAGTTGCAAAGCGTGTCGAAAGCGAGTCGCGTCGGTGGTGCTTTTGCCCTGCCGTCACCTCTGCCTCTGTACAGACTGCGACCAAGTGGTTCAGACTTGCCCGCTATGCCTCTCTCAGCGAAATTCCAGCGTAGAGGTCTATCTTTCGTAGGGCCCATGAACCGGGTTATTCCAGGCCCATGAACCGGCCCAATTCGAGTTGCCCAGGCCCAGGAGCTGGCCCTGACAGATCAGTTGACGGTTTTTTATTTTTCCTCATAAAAATGGGGAAAATTTTAAAAAAAGTATTTAAGTAATAAAAGAATTACTTTTTTTTTTTAACTTGTCCTTTCCTCCTCTTGGAGTTGAACGGCCTTGGAGGTTATGTACATTGGCCACATTGCGGATTTCTTTTTCTTATGGAATTTCATTCATTCATCTGTTAATTGTTTGTTCAATAGAGCTACAACTTTTTTTTTTTCTTTTTCCTTCAAAACCTATCCAATCTTTTTCAGAAAGGAAAAAAAGTAATATATATATATATATATATATATATATATATATATTTTATGCCTTTTTTTATTTGAATTTAAGATGGAGGTGGAGTGGGAGATGATCTCAATTCTGATCACAACTTTAAAAATACCCATACTTCAATTATGTAGTGTTTTTGGTCGAAATTTTGCTTTTTGGTGCCAAACTATTGATAGGTGTTTTGTTTTTTTGTGATAATGTATTCTATTCAATTATATTTTTACATTTTCAAATACTTTTGAATTATTGAAATATTTAAAAGACATGTGATTACTAAATAAGCTTATTTTTTAAAAATTAGCCTACAAAATATAGAGTAGTTGTTTGTTTACTATAAAATATATTATGGATTCAATTTCAATTTTAAAATTATTTATCTTTTATGCATTGATGTTTTTTTTTTGTGTGGATATTTTACTTTAAAATAAAATCATTAAATGTCAATTTGAATCTAACTCAACTAATTAAGTCATATATTTTTTATCAAAATATCATAAGTTTGAACTTCGAAGTTAAGTCATATATTTTTTATCAAAATATCATAAGTTTGAACTTCGAAGTTACAATGTATGCAAACAAAATCTCACATTAGTTAGAAAAGAGAATGATTCATATCATACAAATGATGACAATTATCACATTGGTTTGATGACAATTATCGCATTGGTTTGATACTTTTTTTTGTGAAATCAAAAAGGTTATGTCCAAAGCAAATAATATCATACCTTGAGGTACTGATATAGAAATTTCTTTTTTAATGCAAAATTAGAATTAGATATTGATTTATACACACCAATAAACATCTCTATCTCCTAAGCTAACTTTTAATGTAAATAAAACGTTTTAATCAACGTCCAACCATGGTTCTAAATATCCATCAACACGTCTACATTTCTATCGATATGTCCATGTTTTCATGAGTTCGACATTGACATGAGGCGTAAATCGACATTTCTATCATAGTATTAAAAAATCGACCAAATATGGAAAATATCAACAAAATGTCACTAATATGTACATAATATTAATATTAATTATTTTTTAACTTATTTAGAAATATGAAAATTTTTATTTGTTAATTTAAATATTTTTTACAATTTTTTAATTTCTATAACTTTTACAGAAATATCCATCAAAATCGACGTTTTAATCGACATCGACATTTAAAACACCTCCAACGCATGTGGTAGTTTCGAATATAAAATTGTTTACTAGCATTGGAAAACAAATCATGTAGAAAAATAAAAATTGGAGTTCATCCTTCAAAAAAATATACAAAAAGAGAGAAAAATTAGAGAAGCCCATGGGCAGAAATTGGCTAGGATTGTTTAGAATAAATTGGGCTTCTAAAGGCCGAGTCGCATTATGGGCCGTGAACAACGCGAGCCCATGACTTCCAAGCTACCAGTCCCAACCTTACGAACCCCGCCACTCCCACCATTATTTTTCTGTGTTTTTATTTTCTTAAATTCATCCGGTAGAGATCCAACATTCAATCTTAAAAAAATGTATAGATGTCTTATCTATACACTTATGCTTTTTATTTAACTTTTTTTTTCATGTTTGCAAATTGAGAGAGAGTCTCATTTTTTGTCCTCAACCCAATTCGGTATATTTCAACATTAATTATATTAATTTTTAAAATTGAATAAGCAGTGAAATAATGTCCTCTCCAAAAATAGGTTAAAAGAATACCTAAAAATCTACGAAAATTAAGTTAACAAAACAGTCCAAATTCTCTAGAATCAAACAAAAAAAAAGGTTCAATTCAAAAAATAATAATTAAAAAAACAATAAATAAAATGACAAAACAACGAGAAAAAAAAAAGTTACCAATACATATGTCTGGTTTAATCACACAAAGGTCAACGTTTAATACTAAATTAAATCAAATAATAAAATGAGTAAAATATATTTTTAATTCAAGGACCAAGTAGACCATTTAGAACAATTTTTTAAAAGTCAGGGACCAAACTGTCACTTTTTGAAATTTAAGGACCAAATAGACACCTATGATCAAATCTAAGGACTAAAAATGAAATGATAGTGCAATATTAAATAATTTTATATTATTTTTATCATATTTGTAAATTTTTTTCTTTTTTTCTTACCTTCTCCCTCTTTCCTTCTCACTCCCCTTCTTCTTCGATATCCATGGTTTCATCATTCTCTCAAACGCCATAATTTTATTTAAAAAAGAAACTGTTTGGGGAAGGGAATACCCTGGACACGTGGAGGACTTCTATTGGTGCTCCAAGATTGCTCATGAGCCATGCCCAGCTCGGATAGCCGAGATGGCAGCCACTAACGTCGACAAATGCTAAGTATGAGGGCCGAGGTGAACCTGGCCCAGGTCTGACCTACCGGGGAGCTCGGTAGGGGTTGATGTGAGCAACTGTCGGCGGCGTGATTATCGGGCGTAACCGTCGGTCCCGAGATTACCGGGTGTAACCGACGGTCCCGAGATTACCGAATGTAACCGTCGCAAGATTAGCGAGACTACCACCCATAAGTAGAGGACCTCACTCCCCGATCAGGTACGACGATTTCTGGCCTCGAACTAAACTTGGAATCCGACCTATACTGACTTGATCGTCGGAGTGCTCACCTTTTTGTGCAGGTCCGCCCAAGTGTTCAGGTCGGTCCGGAGGCCGAGTTCGAGCTACAATCGGGAACACACTGTTGTGCATATCCTTGCATAAACAGAAACGAAGAGGGGTTTTTGATCCCATGGCCCGTCTTTGTCTTCTCCCACTTGGTCTTCTTTGTCTTCTCACACTCCGATATTTTAAATATTGAGTATGTAACAGGAATGAGGAAAGACAATGGCGGTTACCGGCAGCGGCGGTGGGGCTGTGATGGATTTCAAGAAGATTTTAGTTATGTATTCAAATTTGTGGGAGGGAGAGGAAGGCCCAAAAGACCAACGCCAACGCCCCTCCTCCGCCGCCGATTCGCCCGATGAAGGGAAGAGAGAGGTAGAGAATAAAGAAAAAAGAAAAAAAATTACACATATTATAAAATAATATAAAATTATTTAATATTGTCATGTCATTTAAAATTTGACCGTTCAATTATGACATATTATTTTTCCGTTAGTCAACTAATGGTGAAATAAGCTTATGGACCATTTAAAACCATTTTCTAAGGACCAAACTGTCATTTTAAAGACCAAATAGACACCTATCCTCAAATTTATGGACTAAAAGTATATTTTACCGTAATAAAAGTATTAGCGTATTAATCTAAGTAATGCTCAAGTGAATGAGGTATTTATTACCGTCTCAAAAGTTTGATGGTTTGAACAACCTATTATAATGGTTGTATTTCGAAAAGAGAAAAATAAAAAGTATTACTTCACTAAATTTTCAGATTCGTGATTAAAGGAAATAAAGTTAGATTTGTAAGATTAAAGTTTTTTTTCTTTTCTCAAAACAAACTATTAAAATTGATTCACTCAAGTACAATAATGAGTATTAAAAGCAATTTCTACCATAAATAATAACTTTTAGAAAAAAAAATGTACGAGAAATCGAGTAGTAATCTTTTATTATTTAAAGCCCGCATTTTGACATAATTACATGACTGCCAGCCTTTAATGAAAACATTAAATAGAAAAAAATAATAATAAACTATTCACGGATATTTAACGAAATTCGCAAAATATTATTCAAAATAACAAAAGTGTTGTTAAATACTCACAAGTCAGTCACATGTGACTTACCATGCGAGTAACTTAAAAGATAAAAAATAAATAAATAAAAAAGAATTTCCTGGAATATCAAATTCATGCCATTTTAGTAAACGACACGTATGAATTACAATTTAGTTAAGTTCATATTATAAATTAAAAAAATGACTTATTCATGATTAGATCGACTACTCCTGTCCCAAAAAAAAATAGATAATAAAACATATTCACGAACATTAAAAATCAATTATTTATCTTGTATAAAAAATTATTACTAAAGTGGGGCGTTTTGCACACGACATTCTTCAAGTAAATAAATTTTAAAGGTTTCTTTAAATTCTTGAATATACAAAATTACGTAGATTTGAAGCTCTAACATTTGATATATGTTCCTCGACACTTCTCAAATTGATAAAAGATTGCGAGATTATGTTCTTAGTCAAGTTTTAAATCATATTTTCATCTTCAATCTCTTAATTATTTTACTTCAACCATAATCTTCCTATAAAAAAAATATATTGTTTTTTTATTGATGATTTTTTAATAAATTAATTAATAAAAATCTTACAATGATACGCCATTAGCGTAGAAATATACCAAATAAGTATTTAAAGACACGTGTAGGATATTATCAAATTCTAAAATAGAATCGTATTTTTATTGAATAATTAACAACAAATTTGTATATAAAATTTGGATAATGAAACACAGCACTCGAAAATACAAAAATACGAAACCACGATGTTTTAAAAATTAAAAAGTGAAAACTTTTTAATCAATATAAATTTTAAATTAATGATCATTTACTACCGCAATTTGTAACTATATTTAAGGAGAAAGATAAATTTTAACCTTCAACTTTATATGCTGCATAAATTTTTACACTAAATTTTTAATTTCATCAAATTAAATCTTAACATTTTTATAAAGGTTAGAATCTTCCATTAAATTTAAAAATTTATTGCAATTTTTACCTTCTAATCAACTTCTATCTCAAAATTTGTTGAAAAAACCATTCTCATGAAATTGATAGGTTTAGAAAAGAATAAATAAATAACATTAGTGTCGTTCATTTTTCTAACTTGCAAATTTGGACGAAGTTATTTAATATCGATTTTATATATTAATTAAATTTAATTTTATGCAAAGTTTTATTTTCATTATGTGCGAGCTTTGTGATTACATTTTATTTTTTTGTTTTTAAGTTAAAATTAGTGAGTGAATTAGTCGAAA